CCCCCCCCCCCCCTCCCCACTACTCTCGACCATGCATGCAAGTTGTCTCTCCCTCCGTGCACATTCCTGCTCACAAATAATTTGTCAAAGAGCAATGAGGTGTATCGTTTAGAAAATGTACCCTCTATCCCCTTATTTTCCCCTCACAAAATTTCAACTCACTCCTACATCCCGCCCCCTTTTCCAACACTAACACACGATTTAACATAACATTCCAAGGTTCACTGATAAAAACTAGAACAAACAACGATGAAAAACAAAACTACACAAAAAACAACGCATAAATAAAAAACAAAAGCATCCAAAACAAAAGTAAACAATAGCAGAAAAACAATATGCAAACAAACAAGTTACAAAATGCTGCTCACTATTCTTATAACAATACTCACTTTTTGATGGTCAGTTGCAGAATATTTCCCGCCTGTTTGACCAGCTCCATGGCGTCATTGTGTTCCAGGTTAGTGGCCATCACATTGCCCACCTTCAGCACTAAGTCACCGGGACCCAGTCCTGCTGCTGCGACACTGCCTGGAGTCACCTGAAAAAGACACAGTTTGTTCGTATGTTTATTTGTTTGTTTGTTTACATGTTTTTAGTTTTAGTAGAGGTTTCATGGCGCTCGCAACTGCATAAGGTCATATGAGCGCATGTTTGTTTGTTTGAGTAACGAGAAGCTCGTCGACAAACCAACGGCCATTTCGTGTTTGAGAACAGTAAGACTAGCAGACAGATGCAACTGAAGGAAAGAAAAGAAGTAGGGCCTACCACTGGCGCCTTACAACAACTAACGAGAAAGGGAAAGATGTGTAAAATCTGTACCGCATTAAGTTGACTTTGCGCATTATTTCAGAGATGGGTCTGTCTGCACCGAAGTTCGTTTGAGTAAAGGAAAGCACACTGGCAGAGTGAGGTTCCATGGAAAAGAGTAGAATTAGAATAGTTAGGGAGGAAAAGAAGTAAGAACTACCGGTGCTGGCATATAACCAACCTGCACCCCCGTCCTTTTCTAGGAAACAGGAATAAGCATAAGAAACCTTGAATAAACCCCAATCTTATAGCACAGCAATACGTTCAAAAGCATGACCTCACTGTCGTAAGGTGCATGTAGTCATGTAGTTACCAGAAGTCGTCGATCATGTTCTCCAGTTGATTACTAAGGACAGAAAAAGTACAACATGACAAACTCCTTTTCTAAATTGAAGTGCATTCATGTGTAGAAGGAAAAAACAAACTAGTTTAACTATTTTGTTTAGAAAGAGATTTATGCACTTGTAGCACAGTTAGGTCACATAAGTCTTTAACGTGTCGAATATTACAGGTGTTACAAGAGTGTAACAAAGATAAAATAAGGAGCAAAGGAAGGTTCGAAACGAAAGAAGGAGCAAACCACACCTGAGCAGCCGCCAATCACCCACTTTAATTATCCGAATATCGAGCTTAATTTCGATGTTGTTGTTTTGTTTTTTTAAACAGGACTTTTCTTAAAGCACATTGTCAAGTTTAGACATGACAAAGAGCTTCAATTCCTTTGGGACGTCTTATTAAACATTGTCATTTTTGTTTCCAATCAACTGAAAGTTTACGAGAGGTGATGGTTGCAAGACGGTATACTGCAGTTTTGCACTGTCATTGTTATCAATCGTTATAAACGAAAACTCTGGTGTCCCCATAGACTTCTTGAACTTTTTGGAAAACTGAAAGACTGCACTATCATGCTCGTTTAGGCTTTTTGAGGCAAGTGTTCTTCTCAAAAGCTTAAAAATAACACATCAATTCGTGCCTTTATCTGCATTTTAGAGACATCTTCTGGGGAAATAAAGCCTTGTATTCCAATACCACTATCAGCACAAGCCATGAGATACACGCATCCCACTACTGGTTTTCGTTTGCAGCTTGCAAAAGCTTTCAAAAGATGTTCTCATAAGCGGTGCATACAAAGCAACCTTCGCGTGTGTAGATTAGTCATTGTCAAGGCGCAGATGTCCTGTGGTATAAGCTGTGACGAACACATTACAAAGACTACTAGGACTGAGGGCCCCACTTCTCCCACACTGACACCTAGGCTACCAGTCTGTGTTTTCAATGACAATAAAAGACCACTGAACCGTGACATCTTCCTCTGGTCACAAAGTATGCTGGCTTGACCTCCTTTCACGGTTAACAGAACAGAGAAGATAAATATTGCGAATGTTTGTGTTCGGTTATTTTCTTTTCTAACAGGTTGCTTCACATCGTATACTCTAAACCCCTACACACATAAATTGCTAGCTATACGAGCTGGGAAGAAATCTATACACAACGATACCGTAAAGCTAGTATTTAATTACATCTAACAGGTCTACTTTTCCAGTGAAAGTTGGAAGTACAAAGAGGGAATCACCCTGTGTTCATTCATACATTACTTTTATTATATCATTTACATTAGCAAGTACCGTGTAATAATAATTCTAAAAGATTAAAAGAAACCAAGATGTAGCTGCAAATTCAATGTTCGGTTTTCAAGACAGTGCCTTAAGAAGTCACATTCGTCAACAGTCGTTTACTTGAGAAAATAGCTAAGGCTCTGTGAATAAGGTAAAATGTTGGGCTCAAATCAACATCTTTAGTTCATCTTTAAACAAAAGGGAGACTAGAAAGTGCTACAGGACTTGTAATGGCGAGCTGGTAACTTCATTAAGCTATTTAAAATCGTTGGGAAAGTCGGTGTGATGATTCCGCACAATAGCTGAGCTGAGGGTGTCTGCAGTTTTACATTTTACAATAGTTTCATGCGAAC